GTTCCATTCGGTGGAAAACAGCAAAACATCTAATTACAAAACAAACTGAATCACATTTCATCGGTAATTAAATATTAAATAAGTAATTTTTCAATTTTCGTCCATTATAGTAAAGCTCAAGTTAACTTGTCGAAATGAAGTTCCATTCACGACACCCGTCAATTGTTTCGAACTCGGGCTAGCCAATCGGAGCGCAGTTGTCACAGTAATGATATGGCAGAATAGTTTTCAAACAAATTAAATGACATTTCGTCTCTATTTCAGGTTATATACTCGATGATATCAAGTGACGGGACGAACAAGTCATGCGCCTGATGGCAAGCTTGTCCATAACAGTTGTAGTGCCTCGCAGAGATTTAAATTTCAAAGATCTGAGTCACCCTGAGACATGAGTTGACTAGTCCCATGTCCCTGTAATTTCGCCAGTCGTTCAAACAGTCCATTAATTTGTTGGATACAATTTTTGGCACCTGGTATTCTTATCTGTCTTTAAGTTTTTCTAATTTTAGTAGCAGTAGAGGTCCTTGTGAAAGAGTTCGTCCGGGGAAGTACTGCCACCTTACCTATTTCTGCCACCAAGCAGTAATGTCAGTTAAATTCATCATTCTTAAGTTAAACTGTTCGATTTGAAGTAAAACCATTGACGACACCCGCCAATTGTTTCGAATTCGGGCTGGCCAATCGTAACGCTGTTGTCACCGTAATGATTTGGCAGAATAGTTTTCAAACAAATTAAATGATATTTCGTCTCTATTTCTGGTTATATACTCCATGTTCCTCAGTCATGAGCTGTCATTCATAAAATTAATTGTGGTGATGGGTTGCTTTCTTTTGCTACAGCACAGAGTTATTATCGTTTAGAGCGATCTAATTGGAATATTTTTTAAAATAAAATATATAAGTGCGCGTTTGACTTCTCACTTACCTGATGCAAAGGGGTGTACTACGTGAGTGCGAATGCCGATTAGGCGAATGACGACAGTCCGAACACGGTTGCGCGAAAGCTTAAATGCGCGATAGTTCATTTGCGCGAATGGTTCGCACTCACGTAGTACATCCGATAAGTGTATGTAAATAGTATAAGCTCTCAGATGCTGAGTCACTGACCCTTTTGACATGCTTTTTTATTTATTTTAACTTGAATTTATTATAATATTTTCGTTTGATATTGGAACTTTATGTATTATGCAAATAAAGTCGATTTCATTTATTTTTTATTTTTGTGTTCTCCCAGAATATACATTTTTAAATTTGATCAGCTTCTGATGTATCAATTTTTTGCTTCCGATACAATGAAATTATCCTTACCAGAAACTGCGTCGATTACATAGTATTCATTTTTATGTTGTACAACTCACGCTTGACTAAATAATATAGTGCATCTTACAATATACACGTAACTGTGAGGATAAAATGACTAAAATAGACTCTGCGGCGTTAATCATTTCGTCGAATCACATGTTACAGAAATAACGCTTAACATTCACGTTGACGAGACACAGATGTGGTCTCGTATAATGGTGACATCTCACATGGTTATTTGTATTTGCGTATTTGATATATTTGGCCTGAGATTACAAAACAACAGGCAGATGGAGCATACGCAACAAACGATCTGAAGCCGCTTTTTATTTATTGTGTGCGTGATAACTAGGAGGGACGCCGTCGTAGGGATTTTGCACACAAATGCGCACGTCCCTACAGAGCTGTAAGATTACCAGATGCAGCGAAAAAACTACCGCAATTTTTTCTGTTGCTTTCTTTAATGCTAATGTTATAAACTGGAAACGTTCTTTTGCAATATGGTACTTAAGTGGTATTAAGATGGCAAACAAATTATATGCAACACAAGTTAATATTTAATTGTAATTATTTGAATTACATCACACAAAGGAAAAAATATTGCATTAAGATATTTTAACATTGAAAAACGTTGATAATTCAAAATATTTATTACAATCACAGTTACACAATGTCTTAATAACCTTTATTTTGTACACGTTTTTTTATAATACTAACGTTTCGCGTCTATACATCGAGCATTCGTTTCTGATTTTGATATGTAGTGCAAACGCACAATCAAGTACTATTTTCATTTTTTTTTTAATCAAATTAACTTTATAATCAATATCATAGCATTGACGATCATCTTCTAATTAGACAAAAATTGTTTTTAATTTCCAATGAAACTCTTTGGAACCGGTGAAGTTATGTATAAATACATTATAATATTTCTTTTAATTTTATAGACACGCTTCAATTTTTCTTTCCAAATCACCCTGTTTATGACACGTGCACACACCAATGAAAGTTATCTGTATCTATAGGCCTACATTTTCTTTTGTGTACATAATGGCTATTGGACATGGGTTTGGGAATAATTTTGGTAGGTAGTCAGATTGAGTTACCAAAAAAACAATTTTGGACTGCTGTAAATGGACCAGCCTGTATGTATATGCATGCATTATTTAATATCTATATAAAAGTATAAATTAATCGGTGCTCCTATCACCCATTCGTATTTACCTCATGTAAGGAAACTCATTTCGATATAAACTGGTAACACATACGGATTTATGTCGAGGTTTTATGTTCCGAGTGAATCTCAAAAATTATTGGGTAAATAAATTACAAAACAGTTAAATAATCAATAGTACCCTGTGAAAAGATATTCCATCTTATGTTTTTTTGTTTTTGGGAACAACTTTTGCAATGTTTAAAGAGACAAAATGGCATTCTTAAACATAAAATAACTAATCACTAATGACGTGCAAACAAAGCTACGCTGTGCTTAGAACTGACGCGAGTTTGTATTCGCTTTTGAATTTACATTTGATTTGGTGACTTCATTTCACAACACACAACTTTTCACCTCACTACAGCGAGGAAAATGGTAGGTAGATGAAAGAAAAACAGTTCAACTATAAATAACATACCAGTTTTAATAAACAAAATTAGTTACTATTGTCAATTTCATGTCAACAATAATAAGAATAAAATTATCAACGGATTTATATTACATAATATCATGTACGACAAATCGCGTAGTTGAACGTGTCATTGTTTTTTTTTTCATCGAAAGACAAAGTGAGGTGCACCACAGTCCATCTCCAAGTTAGAATTCCAAAAACCTTTACCGCGCGCAAAAGAAACGGCTTTGCGCGCAGATTTTTAATGAGAAAGGGTAGTTCTTTCAAGCAGGTTCGACTCGATTGTGTTTTTATGTTCGCCTGCTGTCGCCACCTTACTGTTGTTCAAAAATAGTGGTGTCATTTATTTTATTTAAATAGTGGAACTTATTTTTTAATTTTGAGTAAAATAATAATAATTGTGACTAGTTGGGTCTCGGCCGCGGTCGCCGCCGCCTCCATTGCTGTGCTGCCCAGGGTCTTGGCCCCCTTTGTAGCCCCCACGCTACGCCACTAGGTTTGCGATTTAAAGCTATACAACTAGACAGGCGTGTCGTTTACCATCAAGCGCATGACTTGTTCATCCCGTCATTCAAAAAATATGTATTTTTAACCGACTTAAAAAAGGAGGAGGTTTACGATACTTAGAACAGGGATAGCTCTTTGAAACAACGTGTGTTTACTTCACGTACACGTGCACGCAATACGTCCATTCACACCACTATCTAGTGTCGTAATGCGGGAACGGCGGGTCGCGGTGTAATTTATATTGTCTAATGTCTATGGTACATTACGTGCATACACTAGTGATAAATGAGACTAATGGTCGTATTCCAGAACTCTACTCAATACTCAAGTCAGGACTTGAGTATTGCAGTGAGCGCTGAAAATCATACTCAAGTCCTTGCCATTAGGGTCGTATTTCCAGTACTTGAAATCATACTCAAGTCTGCTCAAATCCTGACTTGAGCATTGAGTACAGTTCTGGAATACGACCCTCAGTCTTTTAAGGCGTTTTATAACGACTCGACTCCATTTTACAGGACTCGACTCCATTTTACAGGACTCGACTCTAAAATTAAGACTAGGGTTCAAGTTTTTATAAATAAGGCTCAGTCGTTATACTAAAAGACTCAAAAGACTTAAACGACTTGAACGACATAAACGACTCGAGTTGTTTGCAAAGAACTTATACCTATTTTATGTCTTATTAAACCCGAAGTTTGTAAATAAAAATGACGTAAGTAGTATGTAGTAAATAATCACGCTTATTTACTTATAATAAAAATTGTAAAATACCTTGTGGGTAGAAATAAAATGAGGCGCCAGTCGTTTTAGTCGTTTTAGTCCTATAAGTCTTTTAAGCTTCATAGGGTTAAAAGACTTCGACTCGAATTAGTCTTCAGTTTTAGTGTTATGACTCAAGACTTGAGGGTTAAAAGACTAAACTAGTCTTGAGGCGTTAAAAATTAAGTCGAGGTTTTTTAAAAGGCCTTAAAAGACTGAGTCTCTTTCATCACTAGCATACACTACAGACTGTACGTTTATTTAAATATTTTTTTTACGTGTGTTACGCGATAACTAATAAAAAAAAATTTGTGAACGTATTCTGATGATTCTTTTTTGTTGGAAAGAAGGTACCTTAGAAGTGGTCCTATTTAAATTTGAAGAAAATACTCGTATTTCACCTCTAAGGCAAACTAGGGGATGAATGACTTTTGATGTCGGTTTTTTAGTACACTACTGTACTGAGATTATTTTATAAAAATACTCTACTAGTTTGGTACAAAGTTATTGATACAAAGACCAAACAAACAAAGAAACATGCCTTCGATGTGATTGTCTCGAACCAGCATCTGTTGCCACCGCTCTTACCACCTGGGCTATAGCTCGGGTGTATACACCGAATCGGCAAATCTTACGATATTTTCTGTGTTTGTTGTAGATATTTTTTACCGTTATTTTATTATTTATGTCATGGTACTTGGTACTTGGTGCAACGGGCTGGTGTCCGCAACTCGACGTCAAGGCGCCTATTGACAACAAAAATTTAATTTAAATTTAATTTGTATATTTATGTCATATTTCCAGATGCGTATTCGAACGAGTCAGACTTGGAGAAGTTCTTTGCCGCGCTGGGATCTGGAAATAAGGATTCCGTTCCTGAGGATACAGCAGGTGGCAGTGATGAGGTGAGTTTAGTATTGTGACGATGTGGAATGTTTTTTTTAGTTAGTACTACTAACGTTTACTTTGATAAAAGCTAGGTAGGACAAGAAAAAAAAAATTTACAAAACGTCTATTACAAGGAGTAATAATAATGACTTAAATAATAATTTAAGCACTAACTCAGGGTAGTGAGTTCGTTTTACTATACGAGTTACATTTACACTATCACGGATTGGAAAACCACTTCCCTGCCACTAAGTAGCTTGTAGTATATGAGGGTAGGTGATCAGTTAGACCGCTTTTCAGGCGGTGCACACATTAGTAGCGGGCAGGTAGATCACGCCGTTGTAGTCAGAAAGCCTGGGCGAAGAAGAACCCTGAAATATCCGGAATTGGGCATTTCAAAAAATTCCCAATTATGATTACTGGCTGCAACATCCGGAAAAATTGGAGACGGACGCACTGCTAATAGGATAGGCTACCAAAGCATGAAATAGCGATCTATGATATTGTTGCTTAATGCCAAATCAACTTATTTATATGGTGAATAACTTAGAATAAAATGAAAATTACATGT